AACTGGGAGGAGGGGTTTTGGGCCGTTATTCCTGGAGCCTAGTGACTTTTTTGCATGCCACGCAAAGCGTGCATCTGGAAATACTCTTTTTTATAAATTACAAATACAATTTGATACAATAGAGGCTGATCTAAGGATATATTTTTAATGTTGGTGAATTTTGTGGTCTTTAGTGTGAAGATTTGTTGTAATAATTGGAAAAAATAAAACATACTCTGAAATCAAAATCTGTGCATACTCTAATAGCGTACTAGACAATGATGATGCAATATTTGTTTTTAAATATATTCAATTGAATTTTAGGTGCGCTGTTGTTGACAAGTACAGAATTCATCGGACGCTTTTAAAAAGTAATTACATTTATTCCATTTTTCTCGAAGTTGCAAAATTCATCAGTAAAAATAATACTATTTTAAGGCAATCCTCCCTAAATGCAGGATATCTGAATCTTTTAGAGATTTTCCAAAAGAAGTTCTCTTATCAAGGTGCTTTTGCTCGCTGCCGAAATCCTATCGCGCAAATGATAATTTTTCCGTGCGAACATGTTGACTTTCAAGCTTTTTAGCCTGAACGCTCATGATTGAATATATCTTTAACGACCATAACTTTATTTCAGAAGAGAACCCTTTTTATTCTAACTATTCATTCAGAAGTCAAAAACGTTTGACAGGCGACAGTTTTCGGTTAACTGTGATCGGTTCTTCACAAAGTGAAACTGAAAGTGAAACCCCAATTTACAAGTCGAACAGGTGTTAAATACATTTTATTGTAAGTTTCTTTATTTTAGAAATAACCTTAATTCAGAAAAACGTATATATTTTAAGACTATTCAGGGAAAAATAAAAACAGATTCTGCATACCGGATCGTAATTATTGAACATGTTGAAAATTATTTTTCACAATATTTTATCTCAATCCTACACCTTATAACAATATCTTGCTTATTTCATACTGTTTTTATTGTAGCTCTACCAATTTTTTATTAATATATTTCAATTCGATCCGTCGATCTATTTAGGACGAGGTCTTCATGATACTGAACAACAATAGCGATCGCCTCACTTCCCACCTCTTGAAAGTCGGATCCAATTTAACGTTTACGCTTGCGATTAGATCGATTAAATTATACATCCACCTTGCCGGTCAATTGAAGAAATTAGTTTTCTCTTACCTGTCAAAARCTGMAGTTAACTTGGTAAAATAAAAGACAAATWTTCAGAAAATTATTCRGAAGTCAATATCTTCAAGGTTGTTGTCTTCTGGACGTTCGCAGTTTGTCAACATTTTTTAATATACACCAAGCCCGCCGATCTAAAGATTGTATATATATACCAATTTCAAAAACGATTGTCGGACAAACGTCCATGGGCTTTGCCATTTGATGGGAAATATTCACTGATTTATGCTGTAAGATAGTTTATGATAAACATTGGCTTCACACTGTGAACCTAAAAGTGAAATTTTGCATACCAAACATTGAGTGTAGGCACAGTCCCTTTGGTCGCGTTCATGTAATCTCAGTTAGACAAATTGGTTGGTCATTGCTGCCCGAAGAGGTTTTTTGAAATAGGTGTATGTTCTGCATGGATTGATTCCGGCAAACGCCATGAAACTAATTCTGCTAGCGGTTGTCTCAGTCTGTAGTGTTTGTTCAAGTAAGCACATGAATATTCATTGAAATCTTCTAAGCTATCTTTTTTGAAAAACTACRGYAAA